TAACTCATTTGCTCACCTGATTCGCCACATCGACGTCGGCTCCACAATGGCAAAGCGTTTGGACGGCGGTGAGTAAACCGAGTCGAGCGGCCACGTGCAACGGCGTGTTCGCACGCTGAAATGGAAATCCGATATGATCCAGAAGAGGCTGCACAGCTGACATTTTTGGTCAAATATCATGGGCAGAGGTAGGGTAGTGATGAGTGGCGCCCTTCCCTTCCCACACGCACAGTCTGGAGTTACGCCCGGGAACGAATCACCAAGGGTGAATAAGCCTATCGTCATTCGCGCTCGGTCCATTGATCAGTCAAACCTCTGGGAAGAAAACGCTGATTTGTCAGTGAACTTACAACAAAATTCATTACATGGGCTCTAAACGCATTCAAAATGAAACGACGCTTCGGCTAGAAGCTCGGGAGCGTGGCGCATCAGAAACAACCTTTATCTTTCTTTGTATGAAAATTGTTTAACCCCTCCAGCATTTTATACACGGTTTCGTTCTTCTTCACCTTCCAGCCTTCTCATTTATTTCGGTGTTGATTTTCAATGAAAAAAAGAAAGCTTCAGTATCGTTATCACTATTTGTTGGTCCAGCCTGGATAAAATCTTACGGTCGTAGTACCGCAAAAATCGAAACATTCGTTTACCAAACAGAGCAAAATTCAAGTAGTTTTTAGCCCTTTATCAACAGGTGATGCTTTCACCTTATAAGCTCGGAGGCTTGAAAAGTTTAGCAGGGGCTTTTGGCCACATTTCCAAAAATTGTAGCCCAAAACGGCTCTAACCATGGACCAATCATACCAGCGCTTTCATTTGGTCAAGTAACCCAGCGCAAGTAAAAACGAGCCTCCGAATAAGTTCGATAGATGGTCGCTATTCGAGAAGAAGCCTTCAACTCAGTGCCCTGTTGGATATGGAGCTTATGTAGTGTGGACCCGGGGAATCCTCAAGCAATTCTATCCTTATTCACATAGGAAACAGACAACCACAAAAACTTGTTCTGTCTGAATTCACATAGAAGCGACAACATCAAACTTGTATTTTCGAGAGAAAAGGGGAAATCTTGAGACTTGTTGAGTACAATCAATAAACTGCCTCAAAACTTTACTAAGAAGACAATTTTACATGCATTGAACACAAATAGGAACTCCTTTCCGGAAGCATGATTATTATTATTTCATAGGTTCGGCAGTATTGGTCCCATGGCGTTACATCATTTATATGACGGCAGGTGCATGCATGATAAGCATAGATGGGTACGGTATTCCAATTTTATAATGCTGCCAGAAGCATTTGTTCGCTCCGCCCTCTTTCCAGCATCTTGAATGGATGCTACCGGTATCGGTAAGTGAAGTTATATTTTGGCTTAGTGGCAGAAAACCATACTTAGGCCCATCATTTGTGGATTGTAGTAAGTACTTGCAGAACTTTTTGCACCCGTCCTCTCGGATGCCCCTACGCGGACTTGCTCGTAGCTCCACCATTTGACGGGCGGGACTGCAGAGCAAGCTGGTGGAGCCTCATTTCTGCATAATGATTTACACAACGATTTTTGCTTTTCCTGATCCAATAATTCTCATCCGGTCTGCAATCGGTCCCTCTCGAGATCCTGCGGGAGGGGTTGCCCACGGTCGCGGGGCTAGTATGGCGCGGGTCGGTCTGAACCGCTGCGAACCAAGGACAGGATGTTTATACGGGTAGGTTCGAAAAGGTTCTATTCACAGCCGATGGCGGCTGGATAAGAGTTGATGAACGGTAGTGCAAGTTTCCATACGCTAAAGGACAACGAAAACTTCCGGAAAAATAACACATAAAAATGGCTGAAGGAACATCATTTAGCCAAAGAAAGAAAAGAGATGAAGGAACAAGACCTCTTCAAATAATTTATCACCTTGACGACAGCGTGGCAACTATTTATGCCGCCGTTTTTGCACCTCATTAGACATTGTGGCAACTATGTATGCCACACCCATTACATTTATTTTTGCGCACATGTCGATTTCCTAAAGAGTTTTGTGTTCATTTTATAGGCCATACATTAACATAACTATGAACCACGTCGCATACAGAATGATCAAATATTCTTTAGATTGGCAGAGATTTTCTGGACCTTACTAAAATGTTTGTTCGGTTTATTCTTCGTTTTCTTTTCATCGTAGATATGTTGATAAAAAGGAATAACAGAAGCAAAACCTATTCGTACGGGAAGATATGTGTTTTTACAGAAACAACCACGTCCAAATTAATTATGGAACACTAAAGGGAAATCAAGTAAAATTTCTTTCCTGGCCGTAACCTCATTCTGTTCGTCAAAGTTACATTGCTGTAACGCCCAATAAGTTACACAGATCGAACAATAATGAAAACACTTCATCGCACCTAAGTATTGCGTTTAGTTCACAGGATAGTATAGTTTACAGCTTAAAATTTTATAATATAGTTTACAGCTTGCAGAATCGCTGTCGTCCCACGCGGTGCAAAAACCCAAAACGCGCGATGTCGTCAACGTGTTAAAGGAAGCGATTACGATAAGGAATTTTCGCATCGGGGGAGAACCTGCGCCACACGGAGCAATTACTTGGCTGCCAAGGAAGCGATGTGTGGCGCTCCACGGCGAAAGGGTGCAAGAGCAGGACCTCCGTAGCACACTCCGCCCCCCAGCAGCGTTACGCCCACAAGTTGACTTGTTGATTTAGACAATCTGCGTGCCAGAGCGCGCGCACATGGAGGCATCTTAAATGTTTAGTTTAGGATAAAGGATAAAGCATTTGCCGTTGATCAATCCCTTTTTGGGATGCGGCACGCATTCTACTTCCATTTGTACATTCGCAGTGGCGTTTGAATGCGATGTGGCCTATACAATGACTTGCGGGGGCCAGCCGATGTACAAGTCAGTGTTTTTATCCTCCCAGACAAGTCTGGTACCAATTAACCGACCCCGGAGGGATGGAAGGCTTGGTTGGCCCGGGCGACTCACGACCCAGGATTTGATCCCGGACCGCTCGCGTGGTGAGCGCGCCACTTGTCACTACACCACTTCCGCCCACTTTGTATAAGTTCATCAAATTCCGTTGCGGCGAACTCGTTCATACCTCTCTTTCTTAACTAGCTGTTCACGAGTTGAAACCAATGGCCAAAAAAGAGGGTCCCGTTTTGTGTTTTCTTGACGGATTTTTCTGCTTTTTTCGCTGCTGGGGTACCACTGAACACCACCACGTCACACTTAAACCCTTCTTGAATTTATCGTAACCGCGCTACCTTTGAACATCAGCTGGAAAAGGGGAAACGTACCATTCCATGGCCGAGTCTGCATCCAGTCGTGGTGAATGCCACGCCTGGCATCAAAATCAAATCCAAGGCACCTAAATAAGTTTACGCTTGCGCCCTTCCCCGGCTCTTTCTACTTCATTGGTTGGGACCTCGCTCGGTGAACTCAAGAGCTAGCCCGTCTGACTTCATAATTCCTCCACCTGATCGTTCGTCGCAGGTTGACGATACCCATAGGGTCGGGATTTCAAGCATTCGAAAGAAAATCCGCAGTGGCAAGTGGCCAAGAAGAAGATAATGAGGAGTCCTTGGGTGAAACTAGAACTTTATACAGTGAAAACTTATTGAAGTTTATTCATTGCCCTAGCGACAATAAAAGTGGTCATCCGCACGTACTTTAGGTATGAATAGTTGCTTTCCTTGCTTCAGCGATTCCTCTACAATTCGGTCTGTTTCAATTTCTCCGCCTGTGTGAACATACACAGACAATCTTTGCGCATCTCTGAACCATGGCGACGAAAGTACCTAAAGGCAACAGCCTATAATAATTCGTGGGAAAGAGTCTGTCTGATCAAAGATTTCTGTATCGTTACTGCATTCGGGAATGTTTAGAATCAACGTGAAACATTCAAGAGCTAATACAAACGAGTATCGGATGGGAAAAAGAAGAAGGCTGGGAATTGGAGCGAAATATTCGCAGACTAAAGTACGATGGTGGAAGAGGGTGAAAAAATAGAGAATATAAAAAGTAGGTGGTTAAGGGAGTTGACCGTTTTATCACAGGATGTTCAAATGTGCATCAAAGGAACGGGGTGCGATCGCATGAAATCTTTTGGATATACTTTCTTGCGAACATTCTCATGTGTTTGATCAATCCATTCACTGGAAGTACTGGAGTTCTAGAGGCGATGAACTCGGCGAAGGTCGTTTCACCATCATGTTAGATTTCGTAGCATTTCCCCTTTGAGGTGCTATCCAGACCGTTGAAAAAGTGGCGGTGAATAGGGAAGAGGTCTAGGGAGTGGTACGTTTGGTACACGGTTCAGCAGTTTCAGCTAGTTCCTGTTTTTGGTAGGATCGTTCTTTCGGCTTCAACGGACTGAGGTGCATCGCAAAGAATCGGTCATTTATGAGCCCTTGTTGGCAAGCGTAAGATTTTCAGGGATATTCCGACATCCATGCAGAAAGAATATTGTCCTGGTTTATTACATGTTTCAACATAGTAGACCCGAAAAAGTGAACATGCTGTAGTCTGGCGTAACGGGCTGAAACAACCTACGCACGGCAGTTTCATCGTTGCGAATTTTTTTGACCCTAGCCGTGATCGAACTACTCACCAGAAGTTCGTAGGTAATTGAGAAGAATCCATTTTACATTCACAACACCCAATCCAAACAAACACAAACAACAATCACCCTCGCATTCGAGGATATTCGTCGATTCCCGACGGATATGTTTAGCATTTCTAAACTAATCGTGCCGTGAGTTATGTGTTTTTATTTTCTTTAGGATATGGGGTTTTTGGGAGCTTGCAAGGGGGACGTTTATAGGGATTATATTTGTAGTTGGTACTGGTTTATCTGGTCGCCTTTCCCCTAATTCACTTTAGAAAAATGAAAATCGTTCGAGATTCGCTTGAATGAGCATGTATTTGCGATTCAAAGGCACTTAAATATTGAAAAGTAGCTGCCCATCTAGGTCAGTTGTTTCTATATGGATAGAAGAAACATAGATCGCTTATTCTAAAGTATGCAACCAGAACAACCTGCGTTGCGCAGTTCGCAACGGCACGTTGAGAGATCCTCAACGCACGCTGTATGGGCGGAGACACAGACGGCTCGAGCATGCGAGTGTGAATGTTCGCGCGAGAGAACGTGTCTAATCGGGCGAAACTGCGCAACGTGGCCGTTGAAAACTGCGCAACGCAGGGTTGACTCTGCTTGAATCGGCGGTAGGCAGTTGGATGAAAGTTCAGCCAGAAAATAAAGCCGCTAGTGAACGTGGGGATCCTTAAACTAATGTTATAGATGCGCTTTTCTATCACGAGTGCCTTTCGAAAAAAGCCAAATCAGTAATGGAAGTAGTAGTATTACCACTATAAAAACATTGACTATCACTACGACATGTACTGGTATCATCAAATAGGTGTCACAAAGAGTGCAGTGGGCCACTCAGCACTGAGTGGGTGTAGAAAAGCCGTCGAAGCCACGGTGTAGTCTCATTCAAAGCCGACAACGCTTTTTCAGCTACAATGTCGCTTGTCGTTGTCGACGAAATAACTTCGGCTTCAGGCAGAGCACGATTCGGTGGATGAGCTCCATCATATACAGCGGTCATCAAGCCACTGGCTTTTTCTTCGACGTCTAAGTTTCCTCTGCTCCATTCCTTGATCCTACTAAGACGATCTCGCGAGATCATCCGAGATCTTAGTAACCATCCTGGCTCCAGCCTCGCTGCCTGTTGTGCTGTCTGTACATTAGCTAATTGTAGAAAACACGCAATCATCTTTCCCCGCGTCAGTCTATGCACACAACTGTTAAGATACTATACGATCTATACGTCCCGCGCTTCTCGCCGGCGATCTACCTAAGATTAATCCTATGTGATGTGAAAAGGTGATTTCCAGATCATTGCATACGGTGGTCCATTCCAATTTGATAGCCGTATCACATTCACGCATCGACGACCCGAGACACTCCCTGATCGATACGGTAGGGAAGATCAATGAGTGACGGAATGTTGAAGCTTCGATATACTCACGTTGCCATATCAGCAGCTAATTGCTCTCATGGTCTTATAAAGAACACACTCCACTCGCTGCGTACTCTCTTGCGATCTCTCGTTCACACTCAAGGCGAACAATCCTTGCTTATCAATTTATTGAGAACAGGTAAGTCTCGGAATTCGCGCAACCTTTCATCGCGAGATGCTGGTCACGATCGAACTAATGTTGTACGTTTTGAACGGAAAGGGAAATAAGGGTGCATGGAGGCATTAACTAGTGTCACGCTCACAAGGAATTCACCCTAAGCACTAACCAGGCTGCCCGAAGTGAGGCAAAACAACCCTTTTGGCGGTGTTTCAGCTGGGGGCGTGATGGCTGAATGGTGTTGGGCAGGGGATGGTGGGGTGCCAAGACGGTCGAGCGGGAATGACTCAACTGCGGTCCTGGAAACCGCCTCATATTCCATGAGTATAACTCAGACTAAGCTTAAAGAGGAAGACGGATATGTAGAGAAGACTAAGCCTTGGAGAGAGGGGACTACGCTCTCTCGCAGGTCCGTCCTCTCTTTAAGGCTTAGTCCTGAGGTAAGCATCAAATTGAGGCGGTTTTAAGGACCGAGTTGAAGTAGTCCGTCGACCGTCGGGGACCCCATCCCCTCCCCAACATTCAGCATACGGCCCCAGCAGAAACGCCAAAAGGGCTGGTTTGCTTACTTCGCTCCCCCCTTCCATGTGAAGTGGACCGTGATATGACGGAAACAACGCTGCGAGGAGATGCAAAGCGAGAAAGAGCACCTTGTGCGAGAAGGTTCAGACACTGTGTGTGCTGCGAATGACAGGAATGCAGCCGTTGCAGCGGTCAAGAGAAGGCTAGCGCTCCTGTCATGCACTTTTAAGTCGCGACAGTGCCACGACCCACGGACTTAGAGACCCTGCAACCCCATCCACGGAAGACAATCCCACTCAGTATCTGATGGCGACCTGTGCCTTCGAATGACACAAAATTTTTTCGAAAATATGGACGCTTTTTGCATAATAGAACACAAAGAGTCGAGGTGTCCTGTTTCAAAATGCATACAGACTGAATCGGTGAGGTACGAAAACGCAAAGATATCCTCCGATCAGACGAAAACATCTACAGGCCTCGGACAGACAAACCCTCACCGGGGGTTCTCTTAATATCACAAAGGTAAGGTTGCCTTCACAATGCGTACTGCCTTGGCCGCTATGATTATTAGGATAAAAAAGTGGAAAACAAAGGTTGCGCTCCGCGCTCACGCGCAAAATCAATGAATATTTTGAACTATACACACATATGTAGGGCGGTACGAAGTGTGAGAGTAGTTCAATTACCAAATATGACTTACTACCTTCAACGCTTGAAATCCAAAACGTTTCAGCGCCAGCATACGCTGCTGCTCACAACTGCTTTGGCTTTCTGACTGCTCTAAAAATTCCATGATCTAGACACTATACAAGAAATCAAAGGCAAAATGCACGATCAATCGATACATTATTCTGCACTATGTCATAAAATTAGCATTACCTGAGCGAATTTTGAACTCAAACGCTGTACAGGGAAAAATATACACTGTGTGCGTCTTACTTACAAAAAAAGCAGTATTACCTCATGGGAGGCAGGTGAGATAACTGGCGTAGGAGAGAAGACGCGTCTCCTATCAAGGTGGGCATGCCTCCTATAAGAGCAGTACGAGCCTACTTCGCTACGGAGGGGCAAGTACGAGTAAGGCTCTGTAAAGCTCTATGAGACCGTAACGGCTGAAGCCACACTCATGGTAAATTCCCCCATTCGCAGCTGTCCACGCCCACATTAAACCCCATCTGCAAGCCATCCGAGATAAACTGTAGCCGTTTTAGCAATGGCAGAATAGCGTTCATGTTCATGACTTCTACACAATGATACTCCCCAGCGCGCAAATCAACAGGGAATTAAAAGAGTACTATTTTCAGGGTTTCAATCCCCCTCAGCTTTTCTTCACTGCTGCGAATTTTAGCTGCTCTGCTTTCATTCTCAGCGGACGACCAATTCATCGCATTACATTCCTTCAGGAACATGATATATTAGGCGTTTCAGAAAGTTCTGTCGTTTTCCAACCCCTTTTAAATGCACGTATCTCGGCTTAGGGCTAAACCTTTCGAGTTGATTAAAAAAACCATTTGAAAGCGCGAATCTTGTTCTATAAGAAGCCGTTCAACAGGGTACGTTTATTTGGAATGCTGGACCTCTGGAGGCGATGAACTGAGGGAAGGTCGTTTTAGCATCATGTTGGTTTTTGATGTATTTCTCTTCAAGGAAGCTATCGAGATCGTCAGAAGTTTGACAGTAGATAGTTCAAGGGTCTACTAAGTAAGATGTTCGCAGAACCACTCTGAAGTTCAGCTGGTACAACTTGTGAAGGGTTGGCCGTGCGATGTGCGTTCAAGACACCTTTCAGGGATGTGTGTGTTCCTTTATAATGAGGAATGCTGGACCCATGTCCTAGAGTTTTTGATGATTTTTGACTTAGTATAAAGATTGATTCTCCACTGTAACAGTTCCACCTGATACTGAAGAACATGGCCAGCCGCTGACCCCCATGAAAGCTGCCACAACCCTCCTCCAGCACAGTTTAAATTCTGCAAAGTTTGTAGAGCTTCATCGCCGTCGATCTATTCAGCAAACTTCGTGGACTATAGAGAAGAATCTGCTCTTTATTGTACGTCGCAAATCTGTAGAGAAACGAGTCGCTTTTATCACATAAAACAAGCGACAATTTGATGGACGACCCTTCAAATTGGTGATTTGTCGCGGCACGCCCCTATCAAATTTTTTGGACTTTCCAGCTTCTTCCGTATAGCTTGGCTGTACAAACCATATACGCCCAGGTTGGGCAGAACCTCCTCTATGGTCTTACGCACGAGTGCTTCAATCAGAACTTTTGGCTAATCGGAGACACCGTCCGATATCCGACCACTACTCTCATCATATTCAAGGCTCTCGCTTCGTTACAATAAATTTTTTAACTACTGCTTCTGAGCACATTTATTGCAAATCTAGGCCAAAGCATCGTTAATATCTTGAACTGTTCCCGCCACTTTCAGGTCTATTTAAAGCTAGAAAAAGAAAGTCATGCCAACTTGCTCATCGAGTATACCGCATTCAAAGCTTTGAAAAAGCTATAAGAAAATATTTTAGGACAAAGTTGAGCTAAGCATTGGATAGAGCTGGAAAAGCTCTTCAAAATGATATCAACATCAATTGCAGCTTTCCTAGATTTCAAGGGAAATAAAGCATCCAAAAGTGGAGTGTCAGAAAACGACAGAACTTTCTGAAACACCTAATAGATATGAGCTACCAAGGGTACAAAATTTCTTCTCTACTACGAGGAGGAGAAAAAAACGCAAAAATCGATGTTTTCTTTACATCAGGATTTATTTTGCCAAACAACTTTGATCGGACTATTGTGCAGAGATTCGGGAACCACTACAACCCTGGGCATATGACGAGTGCATAGTGCATTAGAAACGACAATATTTCAACATCTACACATTTTTCGCCCTGAAATCGTTATCAAGCAAGAAGTTTTTTGTCGAATTTGAGGATACTTAAATTTATTCTAAAGGCCCATCGATTGAACCAAACCAAATTATGTAATGGATTTTATTTACCTATATAGTTTTTTTTTACCCAGTAATAGCTCTACTCTCTGAAACTTGAAGTAAGCAACAGATTTACTCG